TGCCTACGCAGCTTTTGGCATCGGAGGGGGGGGGCACGTCAAAGTGCCAATCTGTGCGTGGACTCGGCCGCGGGTCTCTCTCTTTTACTTCCCATCGCTCGCTGATTCCCTCCGGCTCACGCCCCCCCCCCCCCGACATTAATGCAATTTCTAGGCCCGGCACAGGGTGTATTTTGTGCCATGTGTCTCCGTATCCTCCATATATACATTATATACATGTACAGGCAAAAGTCCCGTAGTAATTCGCTTAGCGCCGTAATATCGCACTCCCGCGTACGTCCCCTTTATTCTATCTATCTACCATATTCGTATATGTACGTCTCGTCTCTTTGTACAACAACTGATGAGAATGTCAAGTGGAAAGCGATACATTCCGCGTGATTTTACCTGCCTGATCCGGGATTTAGGGTATACTTTCTCCTCTCCCCATAACTTTACCCCCCATAAATATCACGTGCAAGTGCGTGGCCTTTTTTTTTTCCTTTTTCTCGAAGCTCTAATTCTCCGGGCTTTTTTTTTTTTCGTTCAGAGTCCTCGCCAAATATACGCGCCGTAGCGGTCCACGGTCTCCGTACTTGTTGAACCAGCCCGAAGCAACAGTTTGCTCTTCGGGTCCTTCCTCCCCTCCCCAAATCTCACCCTCCTGCTCTTATGGCCCTTGGTTCATTGAAAGCCGTTGTCCACCGCGTGATTTTTCTTTTCCTTTTTTTTTTTTTTCCATTTCCTTCCCTTCGATACAACATCTGACATTTTGTATGAAAAAAAAAAAAAAAAAAAAAAAATATATGTAACGACTATTCACGAGTGCGTATACATACAGTCGATCCTCAAAGCCCGTCCGGCGCACGCATCGCTTATCTCTCGACAGCCCCTTTCGCGATCCCCCGCAAAATTCAGCAAGATCGCACGGTCCGAGCTTTTGTTCCTCCTCGTCTGTCGAGACTTCCTCCTCCGGCCCACTCGAGTCTCTCATTTCCACGTGTCACGTCCACGAGTGGCTTTCCCAACGACTCGGTACACCCGCTTTTGCCGATATGCACGGCCAGGTCCCTCCACCCACCCCTCCTATGCATGGATCCTTCAGGAAATTGCCTTATCTCTCGTCCTGCGAGTACGATTGCACACGTGTGTGTGTGCGGGGCTCAAAGGAAACACGATATCTCTCTCTCTCTTGGAGCTGATTCCATTGTCCATTATCTTACGTACAAGTGAGTAATGTATTGCAAAGATGATACTTCTGATGCCCATGATTACACCCTATCTTGGGCGAAAAAAAACATAGGAACGATCGAACCGATTTCTCCCTCCAACTCACGCTGATGATAATCCTTTCGCCAACGCGCGCCTTCGGCTCCATGTATTATGAAAAAAAAAAAAAAAAAAAAGAAAACTCCTTGTCGCCATCCCCAACTTAAATCGGTAATAACCAAAAGCGAAGAGGCAAACGAAGGAGAGCGTCTCCAGCCCTGTACCTCGTTAAACAGAGAGATCATTCGATAAGCGGAAGCGATATTGTATAAATGACGTTACCCACCTTTTTTTTTTACCTTTTAAGCTTTGGGGTAAGCGAAAAGTGCAATCTCCGCATCGCATAATATATACCCAGACTGTATGCGCGACAAAAGAGGTATGCCCCCGCACACGCGGCTCCAAAGGGTGAGCGCTGGAGGAGCCGTTAACTCGAGGGATAGGCCACTCTTCGCCTACCATATCATACCGGTTAATGGAGTGATCGGTAACCGAGTTATAAAGCAATCTGCATAAGCTATACGCCCGCACACTCTCTCTTTCTCTCTGTACTTTACCTCCGGCTGTACCGAACACTTTACGTATATATATGTATACAGTATACAGGTGGCTGGGTGGTGTACACCTGGAAAAGCCCCGTTTCTCCCTGCCTCGCAGCATCAGTAGCGCCGGTGATTGCCGGGGCTGATGAAATTACCGGGACGCGCGGGGCGCTTCTGTCGCTTAGTTTTTGTCTGCGTGTCATCTCTTTGATGATTTCGCAGCTTCTCTCTCTCTTCAAATTACATTTGACTCTCGAGTGTCCGCGACTTGTATCGAGCGGTGCGAGGAACCTTTTCGTATGTATAACTAGTTCTCGTTTTTACAACCGATAATTCAAGGGTAAATGCGTATACCTTACACATGCCTGTTTCTCTTGGCTGGTTTCATCAATTTCTTTACATCACGACAGAAGAAGATGATTGAATATCCTTTTTTTTTTTTTTTTTTTTTTTTCATTTTCACTTTCATTTTCTTTTTTTATGCAGCGAAATAGCACGGCAATTCCTCGAGCGTATCACATAATATTTANTAGGGTGTCGTCGCGTCACGTTCTCGCAGTCGCTCTACAAGTGTACGTAATATGGAACTGCCTCGTGACATTTTGTATGAAAAAAAAAAAAAAAAAAAAATTGAAATTTAAAAGCTTCAATCGACGTATTTTATTGTTGATCTTTATGAAAATAAGTTGAACGAAAGTAAGGATTATTATTTCAAATGAAACCACGCATGAGGGCAAATATGTATATAAAGTTACAAGTGTTTGTGCGACTAATAGGACGAACCTAATAATAATACACGCCTCGTGCTATTACTTTACCTCGCAAAGACTAATCGATAATGAGCTTTTGGATATGTCATTGCAAGCACGTCCGTACCTGCCATATTCCAGTGTGTATACACAATGGTAACGTATTGGGTAAATAAACGAGCAATGGAGCGCGTGGTAATTCATACAAACGACACGTGGGGACAAGTGAAATAAAAGTAAAAGCACCGAGTGCCAAAGAAGAAAGAGGGGGGGGGGACGCCTGGAGGTATAACGCATGTATTTATTCAGAGCCCCAAGGTTATGGCACTCGTTGCCTTTCATGAGTTGCTCGGTCGTTGGGCTGATGGTCATTTCGCGATTCCATCCGATTTTTCTTCCCTTCCACCCTCAAGCTCGAGGTGCCGAGAAAATGAATGAAACAAAGGGGCGAGAAAGCGTTATAAATAAAGATAAAAGTCTCCCAGGAGCGGAGTGAATACGTGGCCAGGAGCTGCTCGAAAAATGACGCGCACTCGGTGAGAATCAATCTTCTTCTTTTTTCTTTCTTTTTTTTTTTTTTTTTTTTTTTTTTTTTTATCGTAGATGACAAACAAAAGGCAAGAGACTAACAAACATTAAAATTGAAATAACAACGTTAAAAGTTTTTCACCAATGCATGACTACTTATCTATGAAACATCAATTCATTTCCTGCAAAAACTATTTTGATATTTATTTTTTTTTTTTGTGCCTCCAGTAAAAGTATGGAACCATTGTTTTTTGTATAAATTTATGGTACTTTTCTAATAACTTAAACGTGTATTTCCACAATTTTTTCGTCGAATTCCAAACACTTTTTCGCTGTGAGAGGATTGTGTGAAATTAATTGTATTAACACTTGACGTATTATAATGTGGTTGTTTGAAAAAAGGTTGAAAAAATTTATCGTTCAATACCTAACAACACTGACAACCGGGAATGGGAGAACTCGTTGTTTGCAGCTTTCGATTCGGAGCTTGAAGCTTTCATGATTGCAGGTCAGTAACTGACCGCCAGTTAGCGATTGAAAAGTTGCTACGCCAGCTCGCCCACAGATGGCGGTTGGCCAAAGTTTGAAAAGTTTCGATGTTCGATTCAATCAATAAAATATCCATTTAAACATATTTTTGTTTTTTCAATCATTAAATGTAGCTCCATAAACATTGTTATCCTACTTTGGATTGAAAGAAAATAACCAAGCATTATTTTGATTAAAGGTTCTTTTCCACGTTTAAGAAAGTTGGGACAAAATAAATGAAGTAATATAAAAATTTACCAACACAATGTATAAACAACCTTCGAGCACACCGGGCGTCAAACAAGACAGACAAATATGAATTTCCTCTCATCATATTTATTATCTGCACTCTCCCAACGCGCGCGCACGTACTCACGAATCGTGCGGCAAATAAGCCACAATTTATATCGGTCAGGTCGTATAAAGGCGTGAATTATGGGACAAAGTTGATCTTTGGAGTGAATCGAGAGGAGTGCGTTGCAGGGGTGTAAGGAAAAAAAAAGGGGGCGGTTATAAAGCTCCGTCAGACGAAACGGCGAAAAGGTTTTCCCTGTAACTCCCGGATTATGCCGGCTGTCCTGTGGCGTTTCCTCCTCATTGTAATACATCATTTTTGCTTTATTTTTTTTTTTATTTTTATTTTTTTTTTTTCTCCCACACCTATCGTACACTTGATGTGCCTACACCCCTCGAGTGCTCCACGCTACGCCGCGAATCGACACTTTGCCCGTCGAATGGCAATAAAACCCCCCTAACTTTTATTTTCTTTATTATTGTTAAAAAAATAAAAATACCTTGGGCCGATGCAAATACTCGATCACGACAAGTACCAGTTTCAATAATCTCGCAGTAATGATTATAATGAGATTATTGTCAAAACAAACCTCGAGGGCCCAATGTCAATAATTTCTTTTTTTTTTTTCGATCGTAATACCTATATATGTATATATATATATGTAGTGAAGGGATTAAATACCTGCCGATTGGCAATTAACGATCGCGCGGTCGAGGCCCGGGATCGTTTAATTAAATGTCGTGCGATGAAAACTCTTGCTATTCGCTTTGATTTTTGCAGAGTCTGCGGAGGGCATTAGCCGAAAGGGAAGAAGCCACGCGCACCTTCTTCCAACGAGAAGTTGCTTACTCTTCTCGTTAAAAGCAACGACGATCCCTGTCTCCTTACCGATTGGCCTACCTATCGACAATCACGTCTGCGAGACTTTGTTGCAGTGTATAACGTATACACCTCTTGGGGCAGGGGATCAAAACTAGGGAGTTTTTTTTTTTCCCCTTTTCCTTCGTTATATCCATTGTGTGTATATATGTTTTTTCCCTGCCCCGACGCGGCACGCAGAGTTGAAATTTTTGGAAAAAAAAAAAAAAAAAAACGAACAAAAACGATAAACTACAAGTAGTGAGATACACAAGATAAATGGATATGAAGGTATATCTTTGAACCATCGTATTTAGCGATGTCCTCGTCGACATTCTCCTTCTTGGCCTGGGACTTGATCCAATCTCTTTCAAAGGCCTGGGGGTCGTCGAAGTTCTCGATCAGATAAACGGGTCCGGCGGGCTTGGGACTCTGGTACAAGAAAGTAACGTCTTCGGGTTCGTGGCTAGTCAGAACGGGCCTGTCCTTGGGTGGCGCTTCCTCAGTCTCCTCCTGGGGCGACGAGCTCGCTAATATCAAAACCGTGGACTGATGGACCAGCAGCAACAGCAACAGGATCAGTGCCGACTTGCTACGAGCCATTCCACCGACTGTGGACTGATGGTGGTGCATGGCCTGCACCGCGTGCGTGTACGCGCCGACTCTCGAAGATGACGTCGACGGTAGACTGATGCAAGCTAACCGATGGCTTCCTTTTCGTCTGTATGTAAAATATATCTATAATGGACAGAGACAGTCAATTTTTTAGCTACAGGTACAAGGAGCACGAGGAGGATGAGTCGAGACGATGTGTTTGATTATGCAGAATACCTTACGTGTATTTAATTAATACTTACTACGTGAAGGTGCGCATGCACACGTCCCGGGCACCGACTGCTGATGGTTATCGCTTTCTTTTTTATTTTCACTATACCTACTACCTACTTCCCTGATGGTTGGTAGATATATCTATAAATATGTATGTGTGCGTGGGAGGCACTGAACTTTTAAATGCCCTAAACTCGATTAACTTATTGTATTTAAGGTGGACAATGTCGTCGTCGCACGAATTATACGTGATGTAAGTACCAATGTGGTTTTTGGTAGATTGGAATTTTATTCTGTCAGCCCAAGCCCCAACTGCAGCTGCACGTTAGTTAAATGAGTATTTTTTAGAATTGCGACCGGCTTTTTTTTTTTTTGTTTCCTGTGACGATACCTACGATGTGACTGCACACCGCCCGCATTTGTTTACTTACTTACGTTGCCGTTTCAACTGCCACGACACGAGGCGGCGTCACACCTATAAACCTCTGGCTGTTGGTTTGTCGTGCGCATCGCGCATCATCATCAAGAAGAGAAGGAGGGGCAGAGTAGGACTTTTTTTCTATTCATGTATTATTACAGCAATGATGCCGACGAATCAACGACCGACACAATTCACATGTACCACTACCAACTATATAGGTATACAGGTTCAACGTAGTCAAAAGTGCATGCAGGGGTGCCAGAATAAGTATGCGTCACGCACGCCACGGCGTAACGTACAGGGGGTGGTTCCACACTTGGGGAGATGGGGAGAGGTTCCCGTTCAAGTAAATGCAGACATTGAAGATCCGGGCCCATCGGTGTATTCAACATTTATTTACTGATTGGCCACGTCATTTAATGCCAGGCCCAAATATAATACCACCCATTTATTAACGGAATAGTCTAATAGTGATACACCCCTTTTATACTTGTGGCACACTAGATAGGGCGTATATAAATATATATGCCAAATGCGATGCAGACATTGCAGACTCGATCTCTTCTATAGACTATAGCGTGTATACGTAACATCCGTTTACTCACATTACATCAATACAAAACCTATATCTATACCAGATCTATTAAAGATACCCACATTCCCACTTATATACACTTTCCTTGAGGTAGGTACTCTGATCCCTTATATAACGTTTAGTGAATGATAAGTATAGAGAATTCAGTAAATACAAGAAAATACCCACATGTAAGAGAAACAAATTTATCAGTCCAGGTAGTAAGTAATGCCACGTTTTTTTTTTTTTTTTTCAGGAAGCTAGTAAGAGCAGTTGTTTTGGGTCCACTTTGCTCTCTTTTCCAGACATGGCGTATTTTACAATATTTAGTG